GGATACCACCGTATTGCTTTCATTTAAATTTGAAAAAAATATTCCACCTCTAAGGGTAGTCAAACAAAGGGATGAATCCGTTTTAATAAAACTTTCAAATAGATGTAATTCCCATTAAAAAGTCGATAAGCAACTTAGAACAACAATTTGAGGTCAGTGTTTTAATAAAAGTTATAATTTCAAATTATGTCTACAACTTGTAGGTACAACTAAAACATTAAAACAATAATGTGTCAACCCTACGCACCGAGCAAAGTATAAGTAACAATCAAAGCGCCAAACAGGCGGGAGTTGCGCTACTTGTTTTATTATATATACTATACAAAGAAATCTCCCAAATTTATACTTAATTAAATTGGACGTAGTCATCTTATGCAGTTAAAATGATACAATAGGTATGCAGATTCTTGTCACTTTGTTTCCGACTACAAACCAATGTTCCTCAGTCAAATTTAGGCATAATATTCTAAAAGCTCCTAGTTGATGTCAGTATAGATTTACCTTCTTTTTCTTAGGGTCGTGCTGGATGTACGATGAGTTAGCTAACGATATTTCAGGAGACGAAGTATCCAGAAGACAAGGTCTGGAGTTACAAGACTTCGTGCCAGCTGGTCGAGGTGAGCTGCAAAGGGACGCTGGACGCTCCACCACGTGTGACTGGGCCATTATTTGCTTACATTCCACCTTAAGAGAAAGGAATCAATGGTTAGATTTTATTACTTGTTGTTAGTGGTTTTAATTTAAGGCGATAGTATTAGAAGACGAACGAGCCTAGATTTTAGAAGGTGAGGTGTGGGGGACCGCCCTCGAGTCCTTTAAAATAAACAATAATAATAATAACGCACACACTCATCATAGCCCCGCACTAGGGAAACCCTGTGTCGCGGGTGCCATAGACACATACATAGACAAACACAAATTACACCCAAACTCACGAGAGAAATAAATGTAGGCCATACAAATATTTCTCCCGGCCCGGGAATCGAACCTAGGACCTCTGCGTGACAGTCCGGCATGGTAAGCGTTCGGCCACGGAGGCAGTCTAAAAGTAAATATAGTGTACCTGCCTGTTCCTAATTACGTCAATTTTTAATGTAGGTACTTAAGTGTTTATCGAGTCCCGAACAGGTCCAGGACCTAAAAAATATTGTCGTAAGGCAGTCTCCATTTTCTGTCTATGTTTAGGCGAAAAGCTCCAATTCGAACCTATTCCGAGCCTTGGTAATGAGTTAGCTAGAAAAATCCGTGTGGGTTTTTTTTTGTTTAATTTTAAACAAAAAAGTTATATTGTCTATGGTCTTTTTAAAAATAACATTTTAGCGCGCATTTTAAGAATTATGAGTCGTGCTTCATGAAGGGCGCTCAGTGCCTCTACCACGAGTTCACTGTGACAGTTGTCGCTAGCGACCGCGTAAATTACTTCACAATTTTGTATGACAAATTATACAGCGCCCTTAGCGGTCACAAGAGAAAACAACATTTTGTATTTAAATATTTTACGCGCCGCTGGCGATAACTGTCACTGTAATCTCATGGTAGAGGCGCAGAACTGGTGAATCGTAAAGGTGTCGTATTTCGTCATGATAATGCAAAATCTTTACAAAGCCGTTAAAAACTATTATAGGCAGGGATGTGTTATGTCAGATTTTAACCTTTTTCAGTTTTTTTTAATTTTTATTGAATTGATATTCAATTATTTTTATGTGAAGTTACTCCACTAGTTTGTTATAATTATTAATACAAAGATCGAACACTCAGAAAAAAAATCCTTTTCATTCGATCCGGCCGGATTAGAACCGACGTGTCAGACGCTATACCAACTAAGCCACGGAACGAACCAGCGGACCTGACGAATTTTTCTATGTGCTTCGTATCGTTGTATTTAGTTTTCAACGACTTTTTAGCCGTAGCGCCATCTATGAGAAATCTATGGTATTTTGTCACCTAGTTAGATACCTTTAAAGCTACCAGCCCCGGCTAGAGATGTCGCTATTCATTGTATTGAAATTTTCATTGAATTGATATTCAATTATTTTTATGTGAAATTACTCCACTAGTTTGTTATAATTATTAATACAAAGATTTCAGTTTTTTATAAAATTCTTGGATGCCGAAGAGACCATCGAATGATACTTGGAATAGTATTTCACAAGTATAGACAGGATTTTTTTTATCGGGGAAAATCTAAAATTACCCAAAAGGTGACAAAAGATTGTAGATTCATATTATGTACCCTTCGGGATAGGCTAAGTCGTCTAATTGGCCATAATGCCAGATATTATATTATAATTTGTCTTCAATGTGTAATTTTCTGCCACTTTTTTTGCGGGAAATCGCTATAGGTATTTACGGTGGCCATTTTGAAACTCTGACCAATACATTACTGATTACAGTATTTATTTTTTAAATGTTTTTAATTTTTTTTTAGTAGCAGTAGAGTTTCTTGTGAAAGAGTTCGTTCAGGGAAGTACACTGCCACCTTAATTATTTCAGCTGCCAAGCGGTAATGTGAGTATTACTGCGTTCCGGTTTTCAAGGGTTAGGGTGCTGGTGATATTACAGGCACATGTGACTTGTCAATTTATGTCTCAGGGTGACGGGCGCATTGGCAATACCCTTCGGATTTTTGCGATTTAGTCCCGTCCCATAGTATCATAAAAATAAAACTTTAATACCGCACGGACTTGTTGGTTACCACAATACTATGTAGCTACAAAACCTTTAAAGGCTCCGAAGGTCATATTTATCATTTTTTATACATATTATCAAGTGACGGGCGCCTAATGAAAAGCTACATGCCTGTCCATTACAGCGTCCTGATTTTGATTCAAATTAGAATCAATCCTATCGGGTAGTTTCGAAATCAGATGGGTTTCTGAGCGAGAAGATGAACCTGATTCCTACTATATCTTTCTAATTTGTGAGTTAAATTAACTATTGTTCCGATTAGAAATGTCTAAAATTTCTGATCGGTCAGTTGTGAATCGCAATTATGCGCCTCGACTTGGAAAAGACGCAGTTTTCGACCGGGCAATCAAAATGAAGCTGCAATTGAGGTGCCACTCAGAGCTTTAAATCGCAAAGATCTGAGGGGCACAGCCACAGCGCCCGTCACGCTGGGACATAAGTTTACAAGTCACATGTGCCTGTAATTTCACCAGCACCCTTCAAAACCGGAACACAGTAATGTTGACATTAGTGCTCGGCGGCAGAAATAGATAAGGTGGAAGTACCTCCCTGGACGAACACTTTCATAAGGAGCTCTACTGCTACTATCTATCTTCTCTAGCATAGTTAATTCTATCATCTTCTCTATCTTATATTTACTCTAGCATTAAGCTAAGCATCAAGTTTGGTATAAACTTTCTGTTATATGGACTTTCTATAACAAGGTACCGAATTGAACACAGATCATGTTAATTACACATTGACGAATTTATAAACGAGACGTGCTTTGAGCGTCATCTTTCAGTCGTTGTGACATTTTACAGCTTGTATTGCAAGACTTTGAACAAGTATTTATACCATTACGCCTTTTTTCACTGATTTAGGAAGATACATTGGACCTCTAATCGTTACAATCTTGAAATATTTCTTTGATTATGTATATACTTACATCTCTAGTCTTAACCCCACCGCCACAAGTCTTAGAGCATTTGGACCAGTCTCCAGTATGCCATCTGACGGGGCAATCCAGCACGTTGCAATACTGGCGGTCCGGTGGCGGTGGCTGGGGGCACATGCTGTTTGGTACTACCACCGTATTAGTACCACCTCGCGTGACCTGGTCAAAGAATAGTAAGCACAGGCATAAATAGGAACTTTATGCAACATGGGCATAATTAAGCTCGTGTCCACTGTTGGGCAAGTTGTTTTATGCCCACATAAATACGCAAAAAATACGAAAAAAGTTAACAGTAGCTATATCTAATCACTGTTTTCCTTTTTTCCGGAAAAAAATTAGAAAAATTGGAAAAATTAAATTTCGAATCTTCACATTATGTTCTACGTTTAGAAATATCTTTTGAAGTTTAATTTAGGGTGAATTAAAAAATAAACTTGTATAGCTAAAAACCACATAGAGAAAAGCTTAGAGAATATAAGAAAACGAAATCAGCCACATCCAGTCTAGCCAATGGTGCAATTATATTTCATATACGCGGTTAACCAGTATGTAATACGTATGGACACCGTCACGTCAATAACTTTCCGCCTCTAGCATATTCATGAGAGTCGATTTTTTTTATGGGCCTATTCTGTGTAGGTATGGCTTGGATGTGTGTTTTATCTGTGTATTTGTAAAAATAAAAAAGTGTTGTCGAATTTGTTTGTGTAAGACCACAGTGACACAACCCACTATTGCTCTTCAGTTCACCTGTTTGCTTGTAGTATTAGGTAATACTAAATATAAAATATATAAAATAAAATATATATAGGTAATATTAAAAGTGGCAGACGTTATTTCTCGAACAAAAGTTTTGTTCAAGAAATAATGCTTAGTGCCTCCCGTTCTATAAGTTCTAAGAAGAAAAACGAGAAATAATGATTTCACAACAGCGAAAGAAACCTTTTCAATGGCTTTATCGTCTTCGTTCAGTAACTCTCTCAGGTGTCAACATCAAATGTGGAAATTTAAAGGAAAAACATCCGGAAAAATATTTATTTTTCAGAAAAGTATGATTATTTCAAAATGGAAATTTTTCCATGACCCAACACTATAATCTAATATTCGACTGATGTCCTCGAATTGTGTCCGTCAGGATGTCTGGACCAAACAAGATATACAAAACTTACTGTGCTCATTATTTACTACCTATTTCTACTATTTAGGACCTATATTGACATATTTTCTACCCTTGCGCTAACGGAAATACTAAAGAAATAAAGTGGCTAGCCATTCTGACCTCAGGTTGGGTGGACCATTTTACGTTTTATATGGTTCTATGGTTCTAGCAGATTAATATTTATTAATAGATAGAGATTTTTTTTATTTATTATAAAAAATATATAAAACTCCTTTGCAAAAGATGTCTTCTAAAAAGACAGTTTATTTTCTCCGTGTAACTGCTAATAATATTTTTGCAGACACTTAGAATATGCCAACAATGGTTTGAATGAGCACCCCCAAATATCTCGAAAACGATACCCAACTTGCCATTATTCGTAAGTCGTGTCCGCCATTTTGGATTTAGAAATAAATGCTATATTCGTAATGAGCACCCCCAAATACCTCGAAAATGATACCCATAT